AACGCGGCGGAGGGCGCGCGCTGGAAAAGAGGAGAACGAGGAGGAAACGCAGGCAACAGAAACACACAGCAGGTTACACTATAAACTATATAACAGCCCGATCAGGACTGAGTGGAGACAGAACTGAACTCAGATCACTGTAAACACTGCTGGAGGGGCTGAATGATAAAGGGAGAAATTAGGAAGGGTTGAATGTTGGAAATGTAGAAAGATGGAAGTGTGCAAACGATAGAGGGATAAGTGTTGGAGGGGACGAATGTAATGGTAAATGATCAAGGTGTGAATGATGGAGAGGTGAGTGATGGAAGGGTGAAAAATGGAGGGATAAGAATGATGGAGGAAGAAATGATTGAGTGACAAATGATAGAGGCATGAATGATGGAGGAATAGATGATGGAGGAGTAAATAATGGAAGGCTGAATGTTAGAGTAGATGTAGGGGTGAAAAATTGAGTGATGAAAGTGATGGAGAGATGAGAATGGTGGAGGGGAGAATGATAGAGGGATGAAAGGTGAAAGGATGAACAATAGAAGGGTAATACATGGTGGATGAGTAAATGATTGAGTGATAAATGTTGAAAGATGGGGTGAATGATGGAGGGATGAATGATGGAGGGGTGAAGGATGAAGTTGTGAGTGGTAAATGATAGGGAGTACATGATGCATTATGAAGGAGTGAATGATGGAGGAGTAAATGAACTGTAAATGTTGACTTATGGAGGGGTGAATAATGAAGTGATAGATGATGGAGGGGTGAATGATGGAGGAATGAGAATTATGGTGGGATGAGAATTATGGAGTGGTGAGAATGATGGAGGGGTGAACGATGGAGGGATGAGAATTATGGGGGTGAGAATGGTGGAGGGGTTAATGATGGAGGGGTTAATGATGGAACAATGAGAATTATGGAGGGTGAATGATGGAGCAATGGGAATTATAGAGGAATGGGAATGACAAAGATGAAAATGGTGCATTAAATAATACAGGGCTGAATGGTGGAGTAGATGATGGAGTAAAAGTGGAGGGGTGAATAACAGAAATGAAAATGATGGAGGGATGTGAATGTTTGAGGGCTGAGTGATGAAGAACACTGAAATGACTGAAGACTTGGAGAGGTGAAGGATGGAGGACTGGATGATGAGGTGAATTATGGAGGAATGAATGAATGATGGAAGGATAAGTAACAGAGGGGTGAGTGATGAAAGGATGAATAATAGAGGGATGAATGAAGGTGGAGTGACTGATGGAGGAGTGAATATGGCTCTAGAGTGTGTATAAATAGGCTGCTGTGAGAACATAATTGTGCCATTATCATTATTATCTGCATCATTACTATTATTTTTGTTGTTGTTGCCATTATTAAGCAGACAGGTCATTCTCACTGAGATGTTTTCCTTTCTCTTTTTCTATTTCTCTCCCTCAGCTATGATTCACTCTCTTGCAGCAGCGATGAGCAGCCACCTTCCGAACGCCTCTTCCTCTTCCTCCTCTCCCTCCTCCTCTTCCTCCTCTCTGGGTGGCACGTGGATCTTGCCGGACAGCCGTAACTCCTCTCTGGTGCGGAGCGGGGCGGACCTGCGCCCGCTGGCTCCTGTTAGCCCTTGGGACGTTGCCCTGTGTGTCACTGGTACGCTCATCTCCTGCGAGAATGCTCTGGTGCTGGCAGCTCTCTTCTACGCTCCCAGCCTGCGCGCACCCACCTTTATCCTCATCGGCAGCCTGGCTGTGGCTGACCTGCTGGCCGGCCTTGGCCTGGTGCTCAACTTCATCTCCATCTATGCGCTGGACACTGAGCTGGCCACGCTGGCCTCTGTGGGGCTGCTGATTGCTGCCTTCTCAGCATCTGTCCTCAACATCCTGGCAATCACGGTGGACCGCTACCTTTCACTGTACAATGCTCTTACCTACAACACAGAGCGCACTCTTACTTTCACTTACGCCATGCTGGCGCTCATCTGGCTGGTGTGCGTGGCGCTGGGCCTGCTGCCTGCCCTGGGCTGGAACTGCCTCGCCGATGAGACACGCTGCAGCGTGTGCCGCCCGGTGACCAAGAACAACGCCGTGGCGCTGGCCGTCACCTTTCTGCTGGTCTTTGCGCTCATCATGCAGCTCTACCTGCAGATCTGCAAGATCGCTTTCCGTCACGCGCAGCAGATCGCCGTGCAGCAGCACCACTTCGCCGCCATCTCCACCACCAAAGGCGTGTCCACACTGTCCGCAATTCTGTGCACCTTCGCCGCCTGCTGGATGCCCTTTGCTATGTACTCCATTGTGGCCGACTCCAGCTACCCCGCCATCTACACATACGCCACCGTGCTACCAGCCACATGCAACTCGGTCATAAACCCCATCATTTATGCGTTCAGAAACCCGGATATCCAGAAGTCCCTCTGGCTGGCCTGCTGCGGATGCGTCCCAACCAACTTCTCCCTGCGGCCAAGGACGTCCAGTGACGTTTAGAGCAGATCAACACAGGACTTTCTGAGATGTTACCGAGGACTTACTACTACTGCGGGTCTACTGTGTAAGTGTTTAACACTATGCCCGCATAGCGGGTGGATACAAGATGGATCTTTTCTACCAAACACAACAACCAACAGTAGTGGAAACAACAGCAACGACATCAAAGAAACCCCAACACACCTGTATATACACCTCAATGTCATTGCAGTACCAACTTTGCTTATCGTGCTGTGTGATCACTGGGGTTAAAAATCTCATGACTTGTCCACTGTAGTATAACACAACGTTTTTAGTGCAGTAAGTTTCATCACCATTATGAAGGCAATGCACATATATTTATCTTAAAATCAGAAAGAGGGGATAGCTAAAGGTCAGTGAAACATAAGACCCATACCTAGTGAATCAAAGAACCCAATTCTGGCACTCTAAAAAGGAAGTGCTCTTTTTTTCCCCTCATGGACTTGGCCATAGCAAAGCAGCATTGATTTCTTTTTATAGCCCGTATTTAGCTAACTAGCCCAAATCTGCTGCCCATCTCAGCAAGCCAATTATAATGCCAAGGAAGCCTCTGCAAAGCTCTCAAAGCCTTTCTTTATCAGTTGACACTGCAGCTGGTCAACCAGTAGATGTAGAGGAAGCACAGTGCGTTTCAAACGTCCTCGATTAAAAATAGCAGTTTCAAGGAGAACCTTCAGGAGTGAAAAAAAATGGCACACATCATGGTTATTTCAGCCAACAATGCTGCACTGTTCACCGTATTTGTTCTTTGCCTGCTAATCTTGGTTATTAGTTCATTAGTAAACAAACCACAGAAGCATTATGATATAATATAGTAATGGATTGCAGTACTCTTTACGCACAAGAGTTCAGGACCATGGACAGCGGCAGGCACAACAGCATGGCTGTTCCTGTGCATTTCTGTTTTTTTTTCACACCAAGCTCCCTCCATGTTCCTTTTAAAAATGTATGAATGACATTAAGGAAAACAAGGTCCCACTAGCGAAATTTCACACGCTTCAGTGAAAGCTGACAATCTGCCGTTTCGCTGCCTGCCAAATCCACTGCTACTTTGTTAGCTCATTGTTCTGCGACGGATCGTTGTTTTCACAACTTTGGTAGGTGATGAAAAAGATGTCAGGGAAGCAGGGTGATTGAGGCTCTCACATGAATCTGAATGAGATGTTTAATCGGAAATCTGAGGGAAACCTACCAGACACGGCAGAAGAAGGCATTAATAGGTTACATTATTCCAATGTATTCAAGGCTTCATTATTACTCTAGAATGGGGGACTATGTTTGAATCATTATTAAGCTATTTTCCAAGAGCTCTGGTGAGATGAGTATATGGACAGGGGTTGCTGCAAGTGAAGGTCATTAGTAATGATTAGTCTGAGACAACATCTTTCATATTGTCGCTGGAACAAAAGCTTGTATCTCCAAACCTGTAAATTTACAGGAGAAGGACAAAACATTCTTAGCCTTCAATGTAAGTTAATGTAGGGAGATTCAATTCCAAGAAACTTTAAACCATTTCTATTGGTCTGTTTGTTATGAAACATTCACACAATGTAAGGGACAGATGGCATTTCCAAATCATGTACAGTACCGTCAAAAAGTCTGAGACCACCCTTCATTTATTTAAATTCCAGTTTAAACGGCAGTTAAGAACAAGTTTCTATTTTTTTCAGGAGAGATTTCTGAGGAGATTAGATATAAGATAATCCCCTTGCATAATGAAGAAGAAGTCAAAGGAAAATAACTTTCCAAAACTATTATTAAAAAATACAGAGAAAGTGGGACTTTCAACAATGCCAGACCTGGTAGATTGTCAAAACTGTCACCATCAGATAAAAAGTGCTTAAATTAAGCTCCAGTCTTGCTTCAGATCTGAAAAAATCCACAGCTGTTTCCTTTATTCCACGGTGAGAAGACAACTCAACACTACGAGTCTGAACGGATGAGTAGCTGTCAAGAAGCTGTTCCTGAAAAAAAAGATTTTGAAAAAGAAAAAAGAAAACTTGCAAATCAGAGAAAGAAGCTACTGGTGTTCTCAGAACAATGACCTGACCACCCCAGAGTCCAGACCTCAACACCATTGTATTTGGGCGTCGGGATCATGAGAAGCAGAAAATGCAACCAATTTATAAAACTGAACTTTGGAGAAAACTTTATTTGGAAAACTGAAAGCGAGTCTCCTGAAAAGAACGGAAGCTGTAATGAAGGTAAAAGGCAGACACAAAAAATGCTGAAAATATGTATTCATCTGTTGAGTCTTCTGTGTAATTTTCTTTCCTGCTGTTGAAAAATGAATAACTTCTACTTAAAGGCCGTTACATCTGAAAATTAAATAAATGACGGGTGGTCTCTGGCTTCTGCAAAGTACTGTAAAAAAGCCGAAAGCGACAGTAACAATATGAAACTGTAGCCTCCACCAAGACATATGTGGTCAGAAAGCCCTGCTATCCAGCAAGCATGCGCATAATTCTACATTCAAAAATAGCTCATATTGGGATCAGATAACTAGGCCAGCAGACCCTGGATGGAGTGGTCTTGAATCAAGGTTAATGAAATCGGCGACTGCTTTGAGTCTCCAACACAGTATTTTCAGAATGGTGCACATACAGCACATAAAACAGATGCTGGTATTCCTCTTTTCCATCTAAAAGTAACCAAACACAGACAGCAACCTTAACAGCACCTTGTGTTTTTCAAGGGGACAGTCTCGTGATCCTTTGTCGCCCCTCATTCGAAAGGTATGACCTTATTTTTGGCCTTATTTTCTTGCTCCTTTGCAATAATCTATCAATGTGTGCTGTCCATTGATAATGCTACAATCTCAATGAGGCCATCAACAGAGCTAATTTAACCTTATGACTTGAACAAACTAAGATGCAGTTTGGACAGTGGGTTCTGGCCTTTGAAGCAGAAGTGTTCTGCTTTGAAACCAATTGTGGTGGTTTGAAGCTTAGAGTAGACCCTGAGAACACACATACACACATGCTGGCCCACTCTGACTAACCTCAGCCATTTGGTGACCTACACTATAACTGATGGACTTTCTTCTGGAGCTGTCTCACAGTCTGGACACTGTGGACGCACGATACATTTGACATTTATTAGAAAACGTGTGTGTGTGTGCGAGAGAAAAAGAGAAATAGAGCTAATTGTGTGTTTATATAGCACTCACTCATATCTTGAGTGGGGTTCAGTGACCTATCACACTGTGCCCCCCTTTAAGGAAAACAAAATAATAAGAATCCACCCCACCTTAATACATAGCAAACACGTACAAATATCGATGTTCTGATGCCAATCTGTATTGTTACGTATCGTATCTCCACAGAACTATACTCAATGGGATGCCATAGATTCAGTTTGTTCAGGGGTACTACGGTTATTTTTCTTATGCAATGCTTTATGGATACATTCTATTTTTATACACATCAGGGCATGAGTTTTATGACATGGTGGCGTCAATGTGTGCGTGTGTGTGTATGTATATAATATCTGTATTCTTATTGATGGTTTCTTAGAAAGACAGAAAAAAAAACACAAGCAAATTGAGTGTTGGCTATGCGAAAAGTGCCATAATTTTAGTAGTGTCGAACTTGTTGATTTCAGTGTATTTGTCAAGAAAACAAAGGCTTATGATTTCTACCATCACTACACTAAAGACTGTGCAGGACGTAACATATTACAGGACAGTACCAGTCATCATCAGAAATCACCATGGCAGAATGATAGATTTAAAAGGTCTATATCTGATGGAAATCTCACAAACTACTGATCTGATTCCCAAAGTTCCCCAAATATCTCGTTATGGAATCAACACTGATTCATGGAAAGCTGGTATCAATATGATTCATTGTCACCATGACCTAAACTGATGGACTGCTTATTAACTGTGTGAGTGCAATCATATCTGGACCAATTACAAAAGCTGAAACCATGTACTCACCAGTTGTGGGTAGTTTCATGTAATCCATGTGATGTAATGGGTCAGTGCCCCCTGCTACTGGGGTAACCTGAGTTTGTGGTATCCTGTGGGCTTTTTATTCATTACTCTGGTCCCCCTGTTGGCCCCCTTCCCTCTACATGGTGTCATGTTGGCTCTTCTCCCTGACTCTGGTGCTGGACGGGGTAGTCCTCGTCCGAGTCAGACAGTGGACAGATGGACGTCCACCCCCTGCCACCTGCTCAGCAGTGACCTATCTAATCACTGACACCATAGATGTCATCATAGCATCAGATGCTGCCAAGGAGGCGGACACGGGCAAAGATAGAACGTGCCCTTTTTATCTCACCCGGATCGGTTAGGCCCTTGAACCTTAAGACTTATTGGTGGTCTATCTAAGCTCCGCCCAAAAATGTGTTCTTTCACAGCAACTTTTGCGAGGGTGATCTAAAATCCTATCGAGAAACTTAGTTTTGGTAAAATTATCCTTATTTAGAGTGAGTTATTAAATTCAAATGCTATTTATTTTGCACATATATAAAAGGTCAGTCTGTTAGGACAGTTGAGTGTAGTTTTGTTGTGAGCTAACATTAGCATGGTGGAAACTGAATGTGGTTTCTAACATTTCTAGCTTCGATCAGCTACAACAGCATAGTGCAGCATAGCATTTTAAACAGGAAACTCAATGTTAGATATATCTACTAGCTGTAGAATGAGGTACAATGAGACTTTACCAGTGTTCTCTAAAGCAGGTCCAACCACAAAACAGCAGCTAGGAAAAAATTAGGTATGCAGCAATATGGAAATTGTGGTCTGAGGCCAATCTCCAATATTTTTTCTTGTAAAAATCTGTCAATGCCGATGCCTTTATCAAATGTAGATCCACCTGGATTTGTCTAACAGAGAAACATAAAATTTACTTCGGTAGGGTTGCAAATACAGTGAAATGAGTAAGATATTTTAGCACAGTAGCCCAGCATCGCCTACACAAGCTGCTGTTCCACAGTGCAATAAATATGCCATGTAATATGAGTTCAAAATAGCAGTCAAATCTAAACATTCCAATATACCAATCGTTTTCTT